CGCACGCACGCACGCACGCACGCACGCACGCACGCACACACACACACACACACACACACACACACACTCAACAGTTTAGGAAGAGGTTGTAATAGTAGTTTCTGTCTACAGATAGGCTTTGATGATCACACAGGTCAGATTGGACTGACTTTAATAATAGGTTAGAAACACTTTAAAAAAGAAACTTTATACGTCGCTCCTGATGAGCATTTGTTTGTAAAAATAAGAATCATAATCTTTATAAGCCACTACCTTATAAAACAATAATAAAATATAAATGTGGACTGGTCTTTGTTCCTTTACTCACAAATAGACCAAATACTATTTATATTTTTCTTTATAGGTTTAAAAATGTACTGACTGCTCTATTGTCTGACAGGATTGTATTCAGTGCTTCAAAGTACAGAAAATTTCATACATGAAATATACACTTTATTTATTAGATTTTTTATGCAAAACCACAGCTGTTTAGTTTCTTATATGCTTAAAATATTTTGAATATTTACTTTATCGCACAAATTTAATAATGAAATTGAGCATAAAACTATACAGATGCAGATAGACGGATCGGTGCAGCTTCTGCAGTTTTGCGTACTCTGTACCGGTCTGTTGTGGTGAAGAAGGAGCTGAGCTGTAAGGAGAAGCTCTCTGTTTACCGATCAGTCTACATTCCTATCCTCACCTATGGTCACGAACTTTGGGTAGTGACTGAAAGGACAAGATCGCAGATACAAGCAGTCAAAATTAGTTTTCTCTGCAGGGTAGTTGGACTATCCATTAGAGATAAGGTAAGAAGTTCAGTTATCCTGGAGAGACTCAGAGTAGAGCCGCTGCTCCTCCACGTCGAGAGGAGCCAGTTGAGGTGGTTTGGGCATCTAGTAAGGATGCCTCCTGGACGCCTCCTCAAGGAGGTGCTTCAGGCATGTCCAACTGGGAGGAGATCCCGAGGAAGACCCAGGACACACTGGACAGACTATGTCTCTCGGCTGGCCTGGGAACGCCTTGGAGTTCTCCCAGAAGAGCTGGAGGAGGTGGCTGGGGAAAGAGAGGCCTGGGCTTCCCTGCTCTAGCTGCTGCCCCCGAGACCCGACTTTGGATAAAGGAGAAGAGGATGGATGGATGGATGGATGGATGGATGGATGGATGGATGGATGGATGGATGGATGGATGGACGGACGGACGGATTTTGTGCTGTGCGAAGGATTACCTTGTTTTAAAATGTGGGATTATAAAATGTAAGTCGGGGATAAAACATCCGTAATATTAATTCTAATTCATTTTCCGTTTACTGCTTATCTAAACATGCTAACTTTGCTTGGTTTAATGAGTCATCAGTAAGGCACATCAGAGGGAATATCCTTCATCATCCCGGTGGCTCAGTCTTCATCACTGCTGTGCATCTCCTTGCATTAAAACAACTCGATAAGAATGACTAAACAGAGAAATAAGACAAAGATCTGTCGAGACCTTCCTCTGCCTCAGACAGGGCGTGTGTTTGTTTACTGTCTGCTTTCTTTGCACCAACAAATTCTTTCCCTCCTCAACTTGTTACGTGTCGTTTGTTGCCTTGAACTTTTTTAAACCCGTGTTTTTTTGTGATTTCAGGGACTTTTATGTCTCTGCTTCGTCTCCTTCCTGTCTTTGATACGTTTTGTCTTTTCTTTCTGCTCTTTGTTACATTTCGTATTTGCTCCACTTCATGTAGGTTGTCTCTCTCTTTTATGTTCGAACACAGGCTTCCCTCCTCGGCTCGTTGTCTTTCTTCCCCCGTCGCACCCCCGTCCCTCTGTGTGATGCGTCTCCCTTGTTCTCAATTTATGTCTCGGCAACAAGAAAAAAAGTAGTTTTGTTAGACTTTTTTGTTTTAACGTCTTTCTCCAATCCTCTCCCCGTCCTCTCCTTCTTTCCTTTGCCTCTTTTTTTTTTTTGTGAGGGGGGCTTTTTCTTTCCCAGCAACAAAAAAAAGCACTTGGTACTTTTGAAATGTAAATAAAGTTTTGTTGTTTCCTCAGCTGTAGCCTCCTCCAGCCCTGTTTATCAGTCCGACTTCAAAGTGGCATGCTGACATGTGGCGCTATCTCTCCACCGCTCTGTGAAATAGGGTCACAGGCGGCGCTTGGCTCTTAGAAAAACTTTCCTCTTTCATGTGAGAGCCTGGTGTGTGAGAGCAACCAAAGAGGGGGGCAGCGTGCCAGCCAGCCAGCCACCCACCCAGTCCAAACTCAGACACACATCATGGCTCGCCCACTGCTGCGTACATCTGGTTGTTTGTATCTCAGCTGGTGATCGCAGGCCAGCGGTTAGCCCTGTCCGTGACGTAGCTAACCCTCCCGGTGTTTTTGGTATCTCCTGATTTTATTCACTGAGTTGCTCCCTCTGTGTTTTTCTCCAGCTGTAGGGTCCAGATGAGATGGCCTGAGTAACTCAAATCTGGGACTGCAGCTACAGTAACGGGTTAAGAAGAAGACGAATCGCTGGAGCCGGCATGTTGTCCAGAGCTGATTGTCAAAAATGAGTCTGAAGAGAGTTTAGATCAACCACACCCACACAGCATCCATTACTGCACCCAAAACGACCCATCCATCTCTGTCAGCTTATCTCATTTTCCTACACTTCAACCCCCCACCCACCACCTCCTTACTGTCAGGACCCAGCTCAAACAAACACCAGTGATCCAGGCAGCAGTGAAAAGAACAAGGGTGACAACACAAGCTGTCTCTGAGCACAGGAGGGACTCTGACTCACCGCGGGGCTTGACAGACCGACAGCCGCCTTTAACTCGCACACATGGACCGTTGATGACGGAAGATGGCAGCGAGACTGGCAGGTGTCACCACGTCCAGTCGACCTCCTTCTGTCCCCGCAGCAGCGGCCGTGGCTCGGACAGGTTAAAGTTGGTCTGCCGGCATCCATTGCAGCATCTGCAGCAGCTGGAAGAGCGTGGCAGGGAGCAGTATGCAGGAAACCGATCTACCGGCCACAAATGCCTTCAAAGGTAAAAAGACGTGTGTGTGTTGTGTGTTTGTGTGTGTGTGTGTGTGTGTGTGTGTGTGTGTGTGTGTGCTTGTGGACATTTGTTGGGAACGCACTGTTTCTGTGTAGTTGAAGCTGACATCACATAAAAAGTTGATCAGTTTGCCCACTATCAGGTTGACTTTTGTTTGAAATGACGTCAGGCTTATGGACCAACACCAAGAGCTCTCAGTTCTGGTTCTCAGCAGTAACCTGCATCTTATAAATCAAAATTCTTTTCTAATTCTGATGCATGTTTATTTATTCCCTGTGATGGACTTGCGACCTGTCCAGGGTGTACCCCGCCCCTCGCACTGTGACTGCTGGATATGGGCACCAGTGACCCACGCGACCCTGAAAAGGAAGAAGCGTGTACAGAAAATGGATGGATGGATGGATGTTTATTTATACCACATTGTTTGTTTGATACATCTGCATTTACTCTAGTTGACAGCTTCAGTCTAGTTTTATAGTCAAAACCACCTAACCCGAGTCTAAGTCAAGTCCAAGACCAGTCTATCAAGATCAAGATGAGATCAAGACTTTCAGGGGCTGGACCAAGTTGAGACTGTACACAGGCAGATAACTTAGTACTGTATGTAGCGCTAATAATGACTAAAACTCTGAGGGTGGGTAAAGAATTTTGGTCCAGCGGCAGAATGCCAATATTACCTATCTAGTTTTGCTAACATCACACTTGCTTCCTTTCTAAGTGACGATAAAAGTTTGTCGTAGTCCCCACGTCTCTGGAAGCTCCAGAATTTATGTTTCTGTATGTTTTCTCCTGGATGTTGTTTTATAAATATATTCTTTATGATTTATCATAAAGAATATATTTATGATTTATCATAAAGATATTCTTTATCATTTTACATCCAATGAAAACAAGGATGTCAAAAAACATTGGACAATATTCTGACAGCTTAGTGATATTTCCACAGTTGTGGTCTTGAAACAAAATCAGGAGTCCTCAATGTCTGAGACCAAGGCAGACCAAGTACAAAATGCGGTTGAGTCCAAGATGAGACCGAGTCCATCAAAGTGGTCTTGAGACCGGTCTCGAGTACTACAACACTGCATCAGTCACTGTGTTGTAAAAGTATATTAACAGTAAATTTTACCTGAGGCAGAACAGGAGGCCCTTTTTATGAATAAATAAGTAGTATTCTATAAGACCAGAGGCAGCAGCAAAATCTTGAGTTACTTTTCTGCATAACACTTCTTTTTCTCAACAAAGGCAAGTCCAGTTTTTAAAATGAAAAGGATCATAAATGATTTAAGAACCGATGGTGAAATTTCCATTTTAGCCTGAAACTATTCAGAATGAGAGGAGCAGCTTGATCTTCTGCTTATTCAAGTTTGCTTTATTACTATGGGATTAGTAATACATGTTTTTGTATTGTGGTTTAATACAAAAATGGGGTTTGTCAAACTTTTTGTTTGACATGTGAGTTGGGATTTAAAAGACAGTATAGAATGCCTTTTTATTTTTTAGCAAATTTATTATTTATAGTTTTGAATTTAAATGAATCAAAACCATTCGATTTTACAAATTTCAGAACCCAAATTTAGTCCCACACCTGCAGCATTAAAAATTTTCACATTTATAGATAAAGTTTTATGAATGTCTATGTAAAGAATAAAATACACATTTATTGTTCTGCAGAAAAGTAACACTGGGACTGTTCCACTCTAACTTTTATCATTTTTAAAAGTGAGCTTGACACATTTTTTAAAAACAATTATTTAGACATTTTCTATTTTCCTCCTTTGGAGCAACTTGGTAATTAAAGTGTTTGAAATAAAGAAAACGTACATTTACAGAGATGTTGGATATTTCTTTGACTCTAAGTTGGTATAAAATATGTATGGACATCAAAGGGAGGTTTGTGTTTACAGTTTATAAGAATCCTCAGTAAACTGAGATTATGTTCAATGATGTTGCAGTTTAGATCAATGTTTTTATATTGTCAACTCTGCACAGGAGGTTTAAAAATCCTGCTTCATTCATGAGTTTAAACCACAGACATGCTGACTCCTTTCAGTCAGGATTGTTATGTTAAACTGTTTGTTTTTAATTTAACCAGAAAGTTTTCAGGAAGTTTCAGGAATAATTCTGGAGTAAAACACTAAACAATCCTGCAGTCTGTGAATAAAAACACACTATTTCAATTGTGAAATTCAGTTTTTAATTTCAGCAGGGTAATTCTTGATAAATTACTGAAGAATAAACAACCTGAGTCACGTTGAATTTGTCTACACATGTTGAGTATTATATGGCTTTATTCAATATGCAGCTTGTTTTAATTCTTTGTCATCATGTTTTTATTAAGTCAAGAATCAATGTTGCTTATTCTCATCTGGCTTTTATGAAATTGTGTGATAATGCAGTTGCCTGTTTGTTTGTCTGTGTGTTATCAAAGCAGCTCATTAACCACTAGATGGATTTTATGAAACTCTCAGATAGTAATCACTGAATAAACATCAATAATTAACTTTTAAAGTCTGTTTGACTCTAGGTGGAGTCCACAACTTTATAAACTTCAGTAAATACAAAAATAKCCATAACTCAAGCGGAGGAGTTTAAATATCTGGGTGTCTTGTTCATGAGTGATGGTTGGATGAAGCGGGAGATGGATAGACGGATCGTGGGATCATCCTCAGTAATGAGGGCGTTGCTTTAGTCAGTCGAGGTGAAGAAAGAGCCGAGTTGAAAGGCAAAGCTGTAATTTTACTGCTCTGTCTACATTTCAACTCTCAGCTATGGCCATGAGGCGTGGATCGTGATTGCTCCTCTGCATCGAAAAGGGTCGGCTGAGGTGGTTCATCTGATCTGAATGCCTCCTTGACGCCTCCCTTTAGAGGTGTTCTGGGCACATCCCACTGGTAGGAGGCCTACTAAGACCCAGGACTCGCTGGAGGGATTATGTATCCTCTCTGGCCTAAGAATGCTTTGGGGTCCCGCAGGACGAGCTGGARCATGTCTCTGGGGAGAGGGAGGTCTGGGTTTCTCACCTGTTACCTCCACAACCTGACTATGGCTAAGCAGAAGTAGATGGAAAAATAACTCAGAGGTATATCCATTTTGTGTTGATTAGGGSCAGTTAGCTGTGACATCTTGAATTGGATTGACTCCAATGTTAAAGAGTTTTAGATGTACATGAAATGATTGCTTCCTGAGAGTTTCACAAACATTCGTCTAGTGGTTTGTGAGATCATTTTCAGACAGTGTTGAGTTAAAGGCAATGGTTTAAAAAATTGATATGCAGTGTGTAATTTCAGTACTTATTCTGACTCTCAGCTACAACCACACCAAATGTTGGCTCAATATCTGTAAAATAATTGAATAATAGCTGTTCTTGTTTTTGCTCCGTTTGCTTTGCTGTGGCACTCATCTTGACTGGAGTTGACTTCAGACTAGTGGTAGATGCGTAACTGAAACCTGGCAACATGATGGGCAGTCGTGATTTTGGAGATGGCTTGTTTTAAGTAAACAGCACTTCTGCACTGTTGAGCGTCTTTAATAAAAATATAGTCATGCTTTGTATTTYTGTCAAAGCTGAGCTTTAGTTTTTAGACAGGAAGTCATTCATTTGTGCTTCACTAAATGAACTGTGTGAAACTTGAAAACCTGTTGACTTTTCATCAAGCCCCATGAGGGCAATTAGCTGCTATTACCAGTAAACTGTAATAACAAACATAACTGTGATTTAACTTGTGAAAAAAAGTGCCTGTTGGAGTTGTATCAGCTTTCAGTAGAGTCTGGAGATGATTCCTTCAGAGTGAAGCAGTTCTCTGTCGAACAGCTGCTCCAACAAACAACTCAATCCTCTGCAGTTAATACAGCCCTGAGGCGAAGTGATGACATTCTCAGCATCATCCTCTCATGTCGCCTCTCAGTCTGGATTTTTCTGCTGCAGCACATTTCACGTTCTGCCATTTTCTCTTTGATTGCTGCGTCCCTCTGTGATGTTTCTATTGGCAATGTTAAGCAGAGCCCACGCAGGACTGGGCCACCATTCACCACTGTTTTGTCAAAGCAATCTGACTTGCAGCTCAAGATGGCTTGATGGCTTAAAGATAGCTGTGAGGGCAGGGAGTGGCTGACAGAACTTCATTCTGGAGAAGATGATTCACGGGGACAGAAATCCCAGTGTGGGAACGTAAAGAAAAGCACACTGATGGTCTGACTCAGCCACGGGCAGACTGACTCATGACTCAGCAGGCTGCTCTCTGGTCCTCCTTGTGAAGTAACACACAGCCGAGTTGGACCGCCGTGTGTGTGAGCAGAGTGGTTGAAATCCAGACTCGTGCATGCTCTCTGCTGTCATTCTTACTGTAGTAAACTCTGCATCTATGGAGAAATCTCCCCCGAGCCAGACTCTAAGGTTTCTCATATTACATAATTCATCAGCTGTGTGTAAATGTGTGTGTTTGRGTTTGCTCAGGTCAGTCTCTGCTGAGGCCCTGAGGGGTTGACGAGGGGAATGAAGTCATCGAGCGATAGTAAACAAACGCAGCAATGTTCAGATGCAGGCAGACGCCGGTGGTCGATTGCAGCAAGGCTAATGCAAGGTTTTGTTTACCGTGCAGAGTTCACGTCGGGTAAAAGAMACACACACCTACACCAACTGTCTGACCTTCCACATGTCCCTGCTTTTTGTTTTTGCATTGGAGTTCATTGTACTTATTTCCACAGTGAGTTTAAAACTGTAAGCAACGTCTTCTTTAAAGAGAAGAGTGGTCATGTGACCTTCCTTCCTTAGATTTCAAGGACTGTTGGTCCTTGAAATCAGTACTCAAGGACCAACAGTCAGAATTTCAGTCTTTCAGTTCTTTTATTTCCTCTCCTTTCTTGTTCGTTGTCAATTTTTTATCTTCTAAATTTCTTTTTCTTGTCGAATTTATTGACCACCACAATTACTGTTCATCTTTACTATACAGTTTCCAGTTTCAGGTTTAAAACTGTCATCTGTGAACGAC